TATATAGACGCATAGAAGTTTTGAATTACTGCGATTCCCAGTCATACGCGACCAACTAGACCTTCATCACAACCGAAAAATTGAGTTTGGGYGGACGTCAATCAAAAGGTTTCTATCGTTTCTATTGGTTTCTACACCAGGACGAGTGGCGTGAATACTAATGTGAACACGTGCAAACGTGCAAAAACCRTTCTTCGTATCTCRTGTTTCTTGTCGCTGTGAATTTCTCGCTCTGCCGATATCTTTTCTCAAAAATGTCACAGGATTCCGGTTCCGACTCTCAAAACGCTTGACTGCAAAGCTATATCGGTATTTGCAGCGAAAAATCAACTACTAAATTCTAATATCATCGTAAGAGATATTCACGGCTAACCTCAATATCTCCTTTCGCACTCAATGATGCGAATAAATTAGTGTTTTTGACTATGATTTGAGTTTCTTCAAGATCAGATAAGTCAATACCAATAGCTTTGCAGTTAAGCGTTTGAAATTCGAGGTCGGAATCCTGTGACATCATGTAAGAAACCCTTTTGATTGACGTCAACCAAAACTCAATTTTTCATTTGTGATTTAGGTCTCAGTTGGTAGCGTGTGAACTGGAATCGCAGTTGAGTTACAATTTAATGTTGTGGTTTTCAAAGCAATCGATTTTCGCTACTAGTAGCCTATAACTTATAGCCTAGTAGTAGCTCATCCAATCAGAACACAGCATTGATGATAGACTACTAGTTGGATTTRACTGAAAGCTATCAGTATCTATCTATTATTTATCTATCTATCTGTCTGTCTGTYCGTTTGACTGCCTATTTTTCTATCAGTGTTCAATACAAAAGTAAATTTACTGGCTATATCCACGTCATAAGCTGGRCAAATAACGAAGTTCATTCTCCTTTGATTTGCTTCAAACTTTAATGTTTGTATTACACCTTGGAGTATCAGATGYAGTTGGAACTTTCGACCACGTTTTTTTCGATCTACTCATACTATGCCATCGATCGAACAAGAAAGCCTATATTTAGCGTCTCTACTCAGTATAATTCAGTATATTTATTCTTTGCTCAGAAAAAAGCATATTTTGGTATAAAAATATTTGAATGAAACACTTCTTTTTCCTCGAGGCATTTATGGCTGGCTTCCACTTGGCCGTTAAAACGGCTTTTGCTGATAATTGCGGTATCTGAGTAAAAAACCTCATTTAAGTCTAGCAATTAGAACTAAGTCGGTTTATAACGCCTTTTTCTAAGAATTATATTGAACCAAACTATACTATTAAAAGCAATCTAGCAATTTCTTTCTTTCTTTCTTTCTTTCTTTCTTTCTTTCTTTCTTTTCTTTTCTTTTCTTTTCTTTTTTTTTTTCATTTTAATCTCACAGTTTATATATTATTAACAAATTTAATGCTTCACATACGCTGAATCGAAATATGGCGACCATTTAACCATTTACAACTAATAACTATTGTAGCGCGCGGCTGACTTGAAGCTCAGTATRAAATAGCGCAGGGCAGCCGTGACGTCATAAAAACGAAGACAAAGGCGAAATTCGGACAAACAAACTTACAAGTTTACTTTCAGCAGATAATTTTCATAGCCGATCGCAGTTGATCTTAGTTTACATGGGTTATCATTGTAACTTTAAGTAAAAATAATAAAATCGGTTCGCATAATCCTCGTAGCGGTTAAACAGAATGCAATGTTTGTCCGAATCTTTAAGCTATTTTTAGAATCAGCGCGCTGCGCTATTAGAGAAATTTGTAAAGGAAATCGCACGAACGTGCGATCTCGATTACAATTTGGAATTTATAGCTATGAGTCATGTTTTGAAAATTTTCAAAATCAGACGAGCCTTTAGGTGAGTCCATTTTGAGAACTTTCAAAACATCACGAGTATCTATAAATTTCGAATTGTACGAGAAGATTGTGCGATTTTTTGTATATTAGACACTTAACAAAATTGAGCATACATTGGGACTCTACAGAGTACAATTTGGGATTTAATTGTACTACTCTTGTCCAATCAGAATCGAGTAATTTTGTTGGGTGTATTATAAAGAAAGAAATTAGAGCTTAGATATTTTATAGCTATCATAATTCAAAAAAAGAAATGTTATTATATTTTCTAGGTTTTGATTTCTCTTACGAATAATGCGCGCCGAAACTTCACGGTATTTTGGTTTTCACAATGCAACCTGAACCTTTACAACCTRTCAGTTTTGAATGAAGGCCGTCGTAAAATCTCACAAATTTCCTATTTATTTCTTTATATCCTAATACGATAATATTTTTTATCACAAACAACAAGACTTGCAAATAGGATACAATAAATAGAGTAATTCCTCAGATTAGTACTATTTCGTTCCAAAATTGAAATGTAGAGGAAGAGCGCGCGAAAATATGTATAATTCCACAGGAGGTCCATCAGCACAAACCATATCAAGCAAGAGAGTCAGTTAGTAGCAATAGACTTTGTTTTATCATCCTGACATGACAAAATATATCATTTCTTTAAAATATTAGTTTTTCTGTCAATAATAATACAGTACTCAAAAATGGGGGAAAAACGAACTTTATATATAAGGTTTGCCTCTGCGAAATGAAATGATTGTCTGATTCGATATCAGACGGCTTTGAACAGAAATTCATTTTAAACGGACTGCGTCTCCTGAGCATAATGACATAGTATTTATGTATTGACTTCATGTGAAGCCTTTATTAGTATTCATGTGCCGAAAAGAGATCGATTGGTTTGCGACACAAAGCAGCTTGTAATGGGCTTTTGTGAAAATGTTTAGTAGAAGTTTTGCTGCGAGTTTTTGTCTTTTCGCTTTATCTCGTTTCGTGTAACAACCTTTTTTAAAGATAGCCGGGCAGTCTGGCTTTAGCTAAGCTAGTTTTTAGGCTTTATTTAGCAGATAACGATGAAAAGGAAGGACTTTATTAATTATTTTTTAGCCCGAAGCGGTTARTTAACTTTGATCTGCAGGAGTATAAGGTGCTTTAAAGACCTGGAACGACTCTTTCCGCTGGTAATAAAGCAAGTTCACTGTATGTAATCATCTAGAATAATTAGATTATATTGAGTGGGATTGAATTGATCGCAGGGCGTTCTTCAGTGTTGTATAAAAATCCTCTATCGCAAACGATCATTATAGCGTTAGTTTGGATTGTCGTAAGTGAAGAGGACAGCCCAAGGAAAAAGAAGCAATACAGGTAAGAAAAGGAAAGAAAACGAAATGAAAGTATATGGGACAGAAAAGGAATGAAATGGAAAGTAAAGTAAAAAGCATAGGAAAGGAAGGGAAAGGAAAGGAAAGGAAAGGAAAGGAAAGGAAAGGAAAGGAAAGGGAAAAGCAACATATGTCACATATGTGTCACTGAAGTGAAAGGGCAGACAAACAGGTAACGCATGCGCAATAACTCTCGTAACAATAAAAAACCTTGTCATATTTGTTTCCTTTTTTCTGGAACCATTGTATAGTCAAATTATCAAACAGCACAAAGATGTAATCCAAAAACAGTCACGGAGTCTTAAAACGTTTAAATTAAGATTAAATATTAATTGGATTTAAGTTAAAAATATGAAATGTTATAGTTATAAAGAACAAAGAATACCARGATCAAAAACAATACATTCTTGATCCTGTAAGAGACTGACACTAACGACGATTATAATGAAAAGCCATGGCATGCTTTATCATCCAATGAAAATCGGTTGGTTCCGTCAAAAGGGATAATTAATGTCCACTTTAATTTGTCGTGTTTTGCTCGCATATTTTGATACGTGTTTAGTCTGGCAATGAAAACGCAACATAAACTTCCCCCAGATCGACATAAATGAGGAAAAAAGTTTCATTTATCAAAACATCTAAAAAAACTTTTTCATAGCGGTGGTCTCTCAGAGATGGCCGGGGACGAAGGAATTTTTCTCGTCACGTTCTTCAAATAGAAATGACGAGTCGTCAACCCATGCTTTTTGTTTCCCCTCTTACGCAACTGTGCTCCTCGCTTTTCTTTCCCTCTAGATCTTTCTTATTTGTTTGTTTGTTTTTTTCTTTATTCATTCATTCATTCGCTTTATTTCACTTTCTCGTTCTCTTTTTTCTTTATTCATTCATTCTCTTTCACTTTCTCGTTCTCTTTTTTATTCATTCATTCTCTTTCACTTTCTCGTTCTTTTTTTTTTATTCATTCATTCTCTTTCACTTTCTCGTTCTCTTTTTTCTTTATTNTTTTCTTTATTCATTCATTCTCTTTCACTTTCTCGTTCTCTTTTTTCTTTATTCATTCATTCTCTTTCACTTTCTCGTTCTCTTTTTTCTTTATTTCTTATCCTCTGTCTCTCTGTCTCTCACATTTCATAATATTGATTTCTTTCATACATTTTACCTTATTCATTTTGAACGCTATAACCATCTTTTAAAAGTCCCTTCTCCTTATGAGTGACTCATATCTATCATCCAATATCCTTCCTTCTTCCTTCACACTGTTACTAATACTGATTTCCACAACAGTTTCATATCAATGCCTTTAAGCATTCTGTATTATAAGTAGGAAGAAAACACGGTAACTAAAGTTTACCTCCATTTTAATTAAAACCATAAAAAATGGATTCTAATTTACGGCCAATAAGATCCTAGGAATACTGTTTCAGGTTGTCGCCCCCTACTAGAATGTGTTCATTACTTGCGTTCAAAGAACAATATTATCATTAGACGAACCTCGAGAAATATACCTGATTTAGTTTATTGAATATTAATGGTGTAAATGCGAAGCAAGGAAAGACAGAGACGATCGAATATTATAAGGTTTTCTCCTCCTATTCTTTCTTTCTGGCTTTTTTTCTTACTTTTTGCGTTCTCTTTTTATTTATACTTTCTTTCCGTTAATTACAATAACCAATCATTTCAATATCTCTTCCTTTCTACCTATCCATCCTTGCATCTGTATATGTCTGTCTGTGTATGATGATTTTCAATCTTTATTGCTCTGTTCTTCCTACAGGCTCGACTCTCGTACCACGTAATGCAAGAAAATGTCAACGAATACTACACTCGTAGTTTCTTCTACTCTCTCAGCCCTTTCTCCTACCAACAGAACAACCCTAGCCATCCCCCCACAGTACAAAGAGACTAGTGCACTGATCTGGTTCAGGCTAGTCTTCTATGGTGTCATAACTCTTGCCTCGTTGATAGGCAACGGTATTGTCATCCGATCGATCATGAACATTCCCTACCGGAAGCCATTCACTTACCACATGGTAACCAACCTGGCAGTAGCCGAACTCGTCAGTACTGTCTCTATACCCTTCCTACAAGCCTACGACTTGATGAATACTTGGAAGTTTGGTGAGTTCATGTGTCAGATTACCAGTCCTGGGCAGATCACGTCATCATTGGTGGTCACGTGGACGCTAGCTATAATCTCGATGCATCGGTATCGTACTCTTGTGTCGCCAAATCGTAGGCCGCTATTTTTGAAAAATACCCCATTCTTAATATTCTGTATGTGGGTCTCTGCTGTGGCTATTACTTTCCCGTCCTACATATACTCCACTCTGGTCAAATCACCGTACGAAAGCAACCGTATTTGGTGTGTCGTGCTGTTTCCAGGAGACACCTTAAACACGTTCCCGTCCCCTGTCTACAGGAGGTACCTCATGGTCCGTTTTGTCATCAACTTCCTGGTCCCCGTACTGATAATGGTCCTCGCATATGGAGCCATGGGAGTTAAGCTCAAATATCATATGGCCACAATAAGAAACACAGACGCGGATCTTTCAGTAACCAACATCACAAACCCGATGCGCTCATCTATCGAAGATGTCGCTGGGTCAAACATCAACAACTTAGATGACAGCCCCTCACTCGGTAACATTTGTTCCAATTCATTTGATAATCCATCCTGCAGCGGCCAAAACGAAAAGCTAGAGCCACTGAGTGTAACAGAACTAAAATTTGCAGGGAGCTACGCCGTCCGTGAAAAACGCAGTTCTGTCATCCCAAGTCTAGCCGAAATAAAAGCTAGGGGGACTAACTCTAACAGTATAAGCAGAGATGATATCGGGCAAGCTCTCTCAAACAACTCGAATCTACTTATTGAATTCGAGCAGGATTTGCTGAAGATGATCTACRTCATTGTTCTGGTTTTCATCTTTTTTTATTTCCCCTACCAAGTGTTTTTTCTGTTGGAGTACTTTGGAATAGTAGAGTATGGAAACTGGCATTACTTTCATGTTACTCGAAGATACATATTCCTGGTAACCTGTCTTCCAAGTGCCTTACATCCATTGTGTTATGGCACGATGAGTAAGTTCTACGCCAAGGCTTTCCGTAACATTGTGTTGTGTAAGTGGAAGAGGCATTTTGCTCAAGGTCCTCCATAACTTTGCCTCAATAGATCTCTTACCTCGGGTATAATGTGTTCCATTACGAACCACGTGTCATTCCCTAGAGTACCATTTCTGTTTTTAGGGGTTGCACTAACTCAGACGAAGAATCTTGTAGAGTGCAAACAATTAATCCGTGAAACACTAACTACTAAATAGTACAAAATAGTGCTAATTAAACAATAGAAAACAATGGAATTTGCATGAAATTGTACTATTTAGTATTACCAAAGTTTCACGGTTATATTGTTTGCACTCTAGTTGAACGTAATATCAACATTGCCATTGTGATGTTCATGTGCCAATAGGTTTCGTCACTTTGCTTCATTGGGTTGCCCTATAGATTTCTGTTTGGCAATTAAAATAATAATCGACTAAACAAATTTCGCCATCGTACTCTTTCCTATTCTCAAGGGTATGACACGTGGTTTGAAATGGTAAAAAAAACTGAGGGAATTGCAAATTAAGAAAATAAAAGTTACCATCTTCCAACGTATTTTATGCGTAGAAAGACGAAAAAGGGAGATCTCTTTTAGACTTGTTTTTAAATTGAAAACAGTTGAGTAAATAGGCCATTTCACGGACCCCGTTACTCAACCTCAGCCTCGTCAGCGTGTAATTATTCTTTAGAATTTGACTAAAGTTCGCGCAGTAATGAAAGGAATTTACACATCAACGAACAATTGAAACACTTAAAAATTTCACAGGTTGTAGGCAATTTCTAAAGAAT